TTCAATGAAAAAGTCAGCTAAACTCATATCATTGTGGGAAAGTTCTACTACCAGTCCTTCATCATCTTACACGAAATAGGGTGAATACATCTCATTACACTGATTTACTGGTAGTCTCGAAACCCTACTCATATACAAATATAATTAACTAGTGCTCTTTTATCAGAAAAGGAGAGCTTCACACCTTTTTATATTCACGAATTCGTACGAATGATTGTGTGATGCACTCGACAACTGCGATCATAACCGCTCTCAACTAATTTCTTCAAAGACTCAATTTGATGTTTAAGCGCATTGTTCATTAGGCCACTCTTTTAGTCCTGTTCGCGCATAGCACATCCTCTCCTGACAAGTGTCTCCATGTCGCCAAATCTGGGATGAAAATTATTCATCAAAACCCATTCCTATGCCCCATTTAATTAAGCCAAGGGGAGAAGAGTGTGTATAGGCCTCTCTATTTTCCGAAAATTGCCCACATGACCCATAAATCTACCAGCCAGCCTTGTCCCACCAGAAAGCCTCCAACATGTTCAAAGGCCCTCCAGACAACGGTCAGTGAACAGACCACAACGGCCGGGTGGTCGACCACTTCAAATGACGCCCAGAAGTATCCGGCACTATTTTTCGTCCGCGAATCCTCCGGCTCAAATGTCGGGTCGCCGGAAAATACATTAATCCCACTGGTACTTTCTAGCTTGATAATAGCTTATTATCTCACTCTGGACATGTGCACATGCATTTTTGTGCAGGCATAAAGGTGTTCCGATGTTTGCATGCCTACGGAAACCGGTGTAGAGCTGTCAACGGCTCTCTTTCGCCAACATATCACGACCGGAATGTATATTTTCCCGGCCGCCTGCACACAGCGAATGACACCGTTGGTATTTTGGCCTCCTTGCCCGCGACCCTCTTATGCCTATCTCGCCAGCCTTACTTAAGTCGGGCACTAGAGCTTGACGACAGTCATGAGCCCCTGACAATCGGGGCGGCATCATTAAATGCTGTGACCCGGTCTCAGGTAGACCAATCTATTACAAATGACCTCACCGCTATCCTTCATAATGCCAGCTTTGCCGTCGCCTTCTCCACCATAACGACTAGCATAATCTAATCACCTTCGCTACCAGCCTCATTGCCAAAAGTGTAGTCTACATTAGTACGAGTGCCACCACAGCCATCGGTATTATGGCCAGGCCACAGCCACGCACACATTCACAACAAGTTAATGAATACTTCACTAGCAAGTGTGCTTTCCTCGCCACGCACTAGCAACATTGTTATGGGGGCTTTTGCTCACCTACCATACATTCATTTAGAGAGGATTTAGAAAATGGGTAGATCTTGAATAAGCATTCAAGTCCCACAGGTAGCATAGGATGCTGCCATTGAACTCATAATTACAAAATTTAAGTGTTTATAATTAATTTAATCATATAAAAATAGAATCAATTCAGTACAATTAGCCTTATCTTCCAAATGGTATTTTCATCCAGGCTGTATTTCAATGCAGTTTCCACCTTTTCTGCTTCTCATCGGCGCCCCTGACGGACATCGAACCAGGGCAGTACAGTATATAATTTCGATGGTCACAGGGTGAACGGGACCTTCAAGGCAAGCCAGGTATCCCCAATACCAGAGCTTAATAGAGGGATGCTGACGAGGTAAACTGGATTCGTAGAAAGTAGGTTT